AAAAAAAGGATGTAAATTTCATTTATGTACCATATTGCATGACCGCACAATTGTCCGTTAAACTAGCGCAGTCAGCGCTGTATAGCAGAAAAATGGCGTAAATTGCAGTATTTATACCATAGTTTGTAGACGCTATAACTTCCACACAAAGCAATCAATATACACTTATTGGGATTTTTTTTACCAAAGACATGTAGCAGAATACATTTTGGCCTAAATTTATAACCAACTTTGAGTTTACTATATATTTTTTATAGCTGAAAATAAAAAATATTGTTTTTCTTCAAAATGTTTGGCGTTTTTTTTTTTTTGTTTATAGCGTGAAAAATAAAAAGCGCACAGGTGATCAAATTACACTGAAAGAAAGCTCTATTTGTGTGAAAAAAAGGACGTAAATTTAGTTTGGGAGCAGCATTGCATGACCGCGCAATTATCAGTTGAATTAGTGCAGCGCCAAGTAGCAAAAAGAGGCCTGGTCATTAAGGGGGGTAAATCCTCAGGAGCTCAAGTGGTTAAGGGCAAACATTGTCCCCACATAATGTTTCCATATTACAGGATCGTTGTGCTGCTATTAAATAAATTCAAGATTGGTTTAATAAAACTCGAATACCTTCCAAACCTACAGTCATCCTATCTAAACATCATTGAACCTTAACGGAAAGTCCTGGATACACAGTGCAATGTAGATTTCCCACATCCCTAGAGGAACTTGGTTTTTTTGTTCTCTTCTACAAAGATTTTATTAGACTTTGAAAAATGGAAGCAATGTGAAGAGTACAACGCAACATCTGCAGTAGTTCTAGCTAGTCAAAGTGTAAAAGAAGTAATAAGAATGTAGTATGATGTGTTTACTACATTGGAATTTTATCATTCCAGTACTTTGAGACATATAGGGGAGATCTACTAAAACTGGAGCACACAGAATCTGGTGCAGTTGTGCATAGTAACCAATCAGCTTCTAACTTCAGCTTGGTCAACTAAGCTTTGACAATAAATTCATGACATTCTGTGTGCACCAGTTTTAGTAAGACCCCCCCCCCATATTGATATGATTTACTTTATTGTTGCTGTTGGATTACTGTGTTGATATTGTGGAATCGTGTATATCCCAATACACACTGTTCAGAACTTGTATGGCAGCATTTTATAGAGGGTTGAGAATTATGTGTAAGCAAAGTGTAGCCTGTCTTGTTATTAATACATTGTTAGGTGTTTCTTTTATTTTATACACCTCTTGTACATAGCATCTAACAATGTAAAATAGTGTCATTACTTAACTGCTTTCCAACTGGCCCATGCAGATATACTGCGGGCTGGCGGCTCTCCTGTGCCAGATCACCTACATGCACTTGATCTGGGACTTCCAGGTAGGGGGCGCATGCAATGCCCCAGCTGTGCTGTCATTCGTTACAGCAAACGACTTATGGCTGAGACCCGCTGATCACCTGAGCAATGACAGAAGAGAGCACTGTGTTGGTAAACAACACAATGTTCTCTACAGACAGCAGAAATGTTATAATATGTATGTATATTATTAGCACTGATCACTCCATTAGTGTCAATGGAGATGCCAGTGGCAGTTAGTCCCCAAAAAGTGTCAGTGAGTATCAGATTGCCCGCTGCGCTATCACAGTCCCACTATAAGTCACAGATCACTGCCATTACTAGTATAAAAAAATATATGAATTCCAGTATAGATATCATCGTTTGTAGATGCTATAACTTTCATGAACACCAATTAATATACACTTTTTGGGATTTTTTTTAACCAAAGACTTGAACCAGAATACATTTTGGCCTAAAGTTAAAATGAAATTACATTTTTAAAATGTTTTTATTGGATATATTGTATAACAAAAAGTAAAAAATACTGTTTTTTTCAAAAATTTTCAGTCTTTTTTTATTTATGTAATAAAAAATAAAAACCCCAGTCGTGAAAAAAAATATCACCAAAAGAAAGCTCTGTTTGTATGAAAAAAATATTATATAAATTTCATTTAGGCACAGCATTGCATCATGCAACGCATCATCACCATGCAGTTAAAGTAGTTCAGTACTAAATAGCATAAAATGGCTTGTAATGGAGTAAAATCTTCTGGAGATGAAGTGGTTAAAGGTGTTGTATGATCACAACCTACTTTTTAAATTAATAACATCAGCATCAGTACAGCACGATACAAACAATCGGTATTTGTGAGTTGTCAGTCTTCACAGGACTGAGATTGAGCTCTGCAGTCACTTTTGCAGCAGTTGTTTTCTTATTCCAGGTCACAATTCTGAGCAATGTCCTTTTGTCTCTTTCGGTCAGTTGACCATGTCAACCATGCTAATGCTTATCAGACAACGCTTTCTCAGGAAACTGTATATGCCGTCATAACCTTTGATACTGTACCTTGCAGCAGAGCAAATAAATTGACAACTTCAGTAACAGAGGCACCAACTAAGTGGGCACCAACAATTTGAAGCTCAGTAAGCTCTGACATGACTTTGTAGTACCAACGCATGCAGTGAATGACAGGAGTGAGGCTTCCCACCTGTTAGCTAGGTGTCTCATCACACAGCAGAAGCAAAAGAATGTTACATCACTTCCGCTTTCAACTCAAAATATCCAATCCTTTTATATTGAACTGTATTGTAATTGTACTGCCCCCCCCTTTCTATTGTCAACTCTCATGCACACTGGACATTTTGATAACACTGGTAACATTAGCTGTGTAAAGTCACGTTAAAAACGTGAGTTTTTCAGCTATTTTTAGTGTTTTTGCATTAGTGTTTAGTGGCGTTTAGCTGCATTTTCTCACATTTTGCCACATTTTCGGTTTTTAGCTTTTCTTTTTGCCAAAAAAAAAAATTTTTTTTGTGTCAAAAAAGTCCAAAAAAACACCGATGTGAGGCGTTTTTTACCGTGTTTTTTCAGAGTTTTTCAGCGTTATAGCATTTTTACAGCTAAAAAACTCCTCTAGAAATCCACTAGTCCTGGATTTTTTTTCCAGCCAAAAAACATCCCAGCCAAAAAACGTTGATTACACAGTCTATGTGTGCATGGACACACAGGATAACATGCTGGGGGGTTTACTAGCTGTAGAAAAAAATGTCAAAAGACAAAAACAGCCGCTGTAAAAATGTTAAGTGTGCATGAGGACTAAAGCACGGTGCAAACTGTTGGTACTATATAAATCTTGTATTATAATAATATTATCACTTTCATACCTTTAAATCATGCAGTCCATTTTTTTTGTCTAACTTTTTTTTGTATTTTGACTATAGGTATGTTTTAAAGTGCATGTAAACTAACCCAAAGTATTTTTTCAGTATGTTTGGTATCATGTTTACTGGAAATCCTACCTTTAACACCATGCCATGTTGCAGACTGACACCAGAAGCCACTGCCACTCTATTAGTATTCACTGTGCACAGTCCTTCAAGTGGCCATTGGGCTGCTTATTAGTTCTGCAGAAGACATGCACAGACCTAATAGGTTGCCCAAAGTTCCAACTGAAGGAGCATACATGGCAGGCTGATGTTGACATTGTTGCTGCTAATTGCAAGGCAGTGGCTTAGTATTGTCAGCTTGTGACAAGTGCTATAACTGCCAGGATTCACAGGTAACAAGCTTTGCAGCAGATTAAAAAAAACCTATTTATTTAAGAAAACTGTATACAAGGAAGCATGATGCAAATATACTAAAATTAGATTTAAAGTTAACATACATTTTAGCAGATATTTACTTCCATCACAAACGTATCTGTGCCAAATACAAGGTGTCACCCTCTCAGAACTCTTACAAATTATTTTTTTTTCCAACACCAGTCATAGTGAAGTCCATGTGCTATCAATCTACTGCAGCTGTTCATAGCCAGGGTTCTTTGGAACCTTAGGGTTCCTTCAGAGGGTTCTAGGGGTTCTAAAGAGAAACAAGTTCTGCTGCTTAAATAGAAACCACTGAGAGGTCTATTTAGCTATTGTAAGGGGCATTATTCACACTTAGCACCAGTGTAAGGGGGCTTTTTTCTAATGACCTCCAGTGTAAAAGGGTCCTCTTCCCAATGGCCACCAATATAAGGGAGCCCTTCTCCACTGAGCACATCAGAATGGGGGAGCACTTCACTAAAGATACTTCTCCACTGACCACCAATGTGAGGAATCGCTACAATTTTCATTGATTACATTTCTTTTCTAGCCAATGATTAATATTATCATTATGCCATTCATATTTTTATTTTATTTTGTTTTTTCACAAAAGGTTTTTTATTGAGGAAAAGAAAAATATGAACAATAGACATATACGTGTTATGCATTCAGAAGCGATAAAAAGGAAAGGAAAAACTGGTGCCTTGTCCATATTTTTATTAATTACCCCTTGGCTTCGGTGCCTTCTGGTCCTTTAGCGGTTTCTGATGCCAGCAGGCGGGGCGGGATTTAGGGTCATGTGACCATTATAATTGGCTGTCACAGCAGTCACATGATCGGAAAGCTCCAGATCAAGTAGTGATCGGGAGCTTGACATGAGGCGCTGGTAACTGTGCCGGGATGCAAGTGTACAATCCAAACGCACACATTCCTGGATTAAAAATGACTGTGTGTATAAGTGGGTGCTGCAGCAACCGTCGGCTGGAACCGAACAGAATCAGCAAGGGTGAATGTCACCAGCACATCGAGGATCACCAATATGGGTCCAATCACATAGTTACAGCAAGGCAATATTTCGGAGTCTTGCAGGATCCCTTTATCAGGCATGTGATGAAGGCACGCACTCTCAGCACATGTTTGTTTACATCAGGTATGCAAATATTTGGCTTCTCAATGTCAAGGCCCAGCCACCGAGAGGCCCACATATTTCCATACCACCAGCGCCAAGGAGTTAAAAATGTTGATATATTTATAACATGGATTCATTGGGTCCTAAATGTTATTTCAAGGGATTGTTCTTGTGAAGAAAGACTGATCTACTGTATTTTAACCATATTTTACTAAATTTACTTTTGACAACATGATGTCACACAAGATGTTAATATAGGTTTAGGGGCGGACTGACAACTCATGGGGCCCCCGGGCAATAGGGGATCATGGGGCCCCTGTGTCCTTGCCCAAACTCCAAAAAAGCCTATGAAAAAGGTACCAGGGGCATCTCATGGGGCCCCCTACTGACCCCGGGCCCTCGGGCAGTGCCAGAGTTTCCAAATGGTCAGTCCACCCCTGTATAGGTTGTTGTGAACATGAAAATGGTATTAAGCCCAAAAGCAAACATTTATTACATTGGAGCTTATAAATTCTTAGATGTGATGCTGCATTAGTTTTATCTTTTAGGGTTTCTTTTGTTTTCACCTGGTGATCACTTGGTGATCCAGAATTGTTTGCTGTAACTGATCATAAAGTATGAGCTGGAGTTTGGCTTCAATTTGTTAGTATATCTAAATCTGCTAGTACATTTAACAGTCCCCCACCCCAGACTGACAATGCTGCTGTCTGCTGTGCCTTCTGTAGTCTTTCATCCAGAGTGATGTGTTACTGGCTGGATCAACAGTGAAAACCACATCTAGTGATTGGGAAGCTGCAATATAATTCATGTATGGTTTTGGGTTTAATACCACTTTAAGATTGAGCAGAGTATTGTTTCATGACTAGGCATTTTAACGCATCAGCTGTCTTTTTAAAATTCTGCTACAGTAGGAAGATTTTAGATTGTTTCATAAATGGCTGTATTACAAAATCTGCAAGCGTATTGTTTTTTGTTTTTTTTTTTTAGAACAGATATAACATTTTTAATAATCTATACAATGAATGTTCCCTTTCAAGTTACAGTTTGTTCATTTTAATTATACTTTGATTCACAAAACTGAAGTTGCTGAAAGGGTCAGTGGGCCTGAAACATCAAATGCTGGTAAAAGTATTCCCACTGTAGGTATTGCTCAACACTGCATGTTAATTAGTGCTTGATTCTTTAAAAAATCCTGTGTGATACTGAGCAATAAGTGCAAGCTGTATCTATACTGAATGTGAGCTTACCATTCATTTAAACAAAATATCAGGCCTAAGGAGCTTTCCAGAGCTGTTGGACACGAGGGTGTAATTATAAAGGAGTGAGTTTGACATGCGGAAAACATGGCAAAACCATAAAATTCAACATAATCCTTAAACCTTAAAGTGGTTATAAAGGTTCAAGGTTTTTTACCTTCATGCATAGAATGGCTGTGTGTATAAGTGGGTGCTGCAGTGATTGTCGGCTGGAACCAAACAGAATTAGCAAGGGAGAATGTCACCAGTACACCGAGGATCACCAATATTTGTCCAAAGGTTTTATTAAAGATCACATAGTTACAGCAAGGCAATGTGCAGCATCCCCCCAATCCCCCCTGATATTCACCAAAGCTCCCTCTCGATCCAGCGATGTGCAGCTGAGTCTTGGTTATCCCTCTCCTCATTGTCTGAGACAGAAGTGGGAGCCATTTGCTCCCACTGCTGTCAGTCACAGCCATTAAGTCAATTAGAAGAGAGAAGGGGTGGGGCCAAGCTGCAGCTCCACGTGTGAATGGACATACGGAGCAGCGGGTGCCCCCATAGCAAGCTGCTTGCTGTTGGGGCACCCGACAGGAGGGAGGGGTCAGGACAGCCTATGGAGGACCCAACAAGAGGAGGATCCAAGCTGCTCTGTGCAAAACCACTGCACACAGCAAGTAAGTATAGACATGTTTGTTATTTAACCGCCTCCCGCCCACCATATAAGGAAATGACGGGCGCAAGGTGGTTTCTCTCGTTCTGGGAGGACGTCATATGACGTCCTCCCATTCTAACCGCGTGTGTGCGGTGCGGCAATCGGTGGTGCGCTGTGTTCCCTCGGACACAGTGGATCACCGATCAACGGAAAGAGCCGAAGATGTCGGCTTGGTCATGTGATCAGCTGTGTCCAATCACAGCTGATCACATGTAAATAAGGAAATGCCGGTTATCGGCATTTCTCTCCTCATGAGCTGTCACGCTGACACCTGCCAGTGCCACATCAATGTCACATATCAGTGCCTACCAGTGCACATCATGCCACATATCAGTGCCCATCTGAGCTGCCTTTCAGTGTCAACCATCAGTGCCAGTCAGTTCCACCTATCAGTGCTGCCAATCAGTGCCACCTATCAGTGCCAGTCAGTGCTGCCTATCAGTGCCAGTCAGTGTCAACTATCAGTGTGCATCAGTGCTGCCTATCAGTGCCGTCAGTGCTGCCTAGCAGTGCTGCCTAACAGTACCAGTCAGTGCCACCTATCAGTGCCAGTCAGTGCCACCTATCAGTGCCAGTCAGTGCCGCCCATCAGTGCCACCTATCAGTGCCGCCTATCAGTGCCATATATGAGTGCTGCCTTTCAGTGCCACCTGTCAGTGTCCATCAGTGTAGCCTATCAGTTCCCATCAGTGAAGGAGAAAAATCACTTATTTACAAAATTTTTATAACAAAAACTAAGAAAAATTTTTTTTTTCAAAAATTTAAGTGGTTTTTGGTTTGTTTAAGAGAAAATATAAAAAAAAAACCCAGAGGTAATTAAATATCACCAAAATAAAGCTCTATCTGTCTCAAAAAAAAATGATAAAAATGTCATATGGGTACAGTGTTGCATGACCGCGCAATTGTCATTCAAAGTGCGACAGCGCTGAAAGCTGGAAATTGGACTGGGCAGGAAGGGGGTATAAGTGCCCTGTAGGCAAGTGGTTAAAGTTATGGATAGTGAGGCACCCCATTCTGAAAAGTCAAAAACTATTCTAATAGTTATATATAATGCAGTAACATCCATACATGTAGAATACCCAACATTAGAGGTGATTTATTCTTCCAAAGCGAATACGCTTTTGCACATTGGTACTGAGTAGTATTCCAGTGTTTCTCTTCTCCCTCAGTTTTTCTCCATCACGTGACCCCAGCACTGATGGTGAAGGGCAGAGGGGAGGGTCAAACAAGGATGCTGTGCAAGCAACTGACATCCTCCTTATCAACTGATGATGTCATAGGTTGCCAAGACACCAGAGGCTAGAAGGTTGTAATGGTGCACAATGTGGCTTTGTGTAACTAAAAGGCAGGCTTGTTTTACCCGTTGGGTTGTATACAAGTTCAGGACAATTTTTAGATATTTTACCAAGGCACCCCTGAAGAAACCTCAAAGCACCCCAGGGTGCCTGGGCACCCTGGATGACAAAGGCTGCTCTACTACCTGCAGGAGTCACTTTTGACAAGTTTTACTGACACCAAGAGGTAAAAAGGTGACAGGTAGGGAGCTTCAGTACACAGCCTGTGATTGGCAGCCTCTGCTCTGTGCCTGTGAGCTTTGTGAAGGGAGAAGTATCCCTTCCATCCAGTCGGCTCTCAGTTCTTCTCACTTAGCTCTGCAGAGTGTAATTTCAGCTCCCCACCTCCTGCTTTCTGAAAGCTCATGCAAGCTGTATCAATTCTGGATGTTGAATGGCTTTAGTGAAGAGAATACCACAGGATTTGTTTCTTCTCTGTGTGTCACCTGAGACTAGTCACTTCACTGGGTATTTGTAAGGGTTTACAACAACTTTAACCTTTCTCCAGCACTCAAAACTAAATATCAACCTAAGTGTAGCTAAAAAAAAAAACAAAAGAGAAAAAATCAGCACAAGGGACATAACCTATGGTCAGTAGGATGTGTCCCTTGTGCTGATTCTTTTAATTGATATCTTTATCTGTCCCTGGCCTCCTGCCCACCACTGTAATCTTTCGGTGCGGTGGGGGTTAATACAACTAAAGGGTTGTCACAAGCTCTCATCAAGAGATCCCGACTATGCCTGCCCTTTCTGCCCAGCTGCTCCATTCATAGAATCCGTACTACAGTTTCTATGAATGAAACACAAACTATGAATGGAGAAGGTGGATGACTAATAGGTCTACCCCCCATTCATAGATCCTCTATTGTACTTGCTGCTGTTTCTTCTGTTTGTCCTTTCCTACAGTCCTGTCTGGTTTTTATTGCTGCAGACCCCTTTCCTGTGTCCTGGCACAAGCAGGCTCTATCCTATTTGTCTGTACAAGTAAGCTGTGTACATGTCCACGCATGGATAGGTACATGCCTCCTAACTGCTCTATACTCCTTTAGAAGGACCCCAGCATCATAGACTAGTTGCCCCTTGTAGTGTTCAAATCACTGTTGCTAGTGTATGCATCTGTGTGATCCCGATTTTTCTTCCTACTTTTTCTTCCTCTACTCTGTACTCCTTTTTCAGTTTGTCTACTCTGCTACCTTCTCCTGATGCCTTTGACCCTTTTACTACTACATCTGACCTATTGAAAGCCTTGGATTGCATTGTTTGCTTGATTTGACTTTGGCAAGACACCCCATACCTTGCATACTCACATTCTCAACTCCACAGTCTTTTCTTGCCTTTACTGGGACATGGTCCTATTAAGGTTTCATAATCCTGTGCTTCCAAAAATGCAGTGATGGGGGTTCTAACACTTACCCATGCTATTAAAAACTGAAAAACATGAGTATACACTTTAGGTTTGTAATTCCAACTAGAAAAGCTACAATTTCTGGGGAAATTGTGTGAAGTGTTCTTGCCTCCACCAGTAGTCTACAACTGGAGTGGCTTGAGTAACTGTTGTGTGGTTGGAGTGGCTGGATTAACTGTGAAAAGGTTGGACTGGGCAGAGTAACTTTATGGAGTGGGCAGAGTAACTGTGTGGAGTGTTTGGAGTGAGTAAAGATAGTAAACATTACACTAACCAATTGATTGATCAAATGGTCGTAGTTTTAAAAACTATAAATTCTACAGCGAAGAGCTTTATATTGTGAGAATCACAAGACCCAGACCTACATTTGGATGCATAGTATGTCTCTGAAATATTAAAAGTGAAAGCACAGTCGCAGTTTAGAAATTGCCCTTCAAATTTGAGGTGGCTAGAGTGGAGTTTCAATGAATATCAATGGATGGCGTGAGTTGCAAACAAATGGTCATATTGTGAAAACTATCAGGGCTATGGCTTAGCCGTGGACATTTTTTGGCAGCAGGGATAGCTGAACGTTTTGATATACGATTTGTGTAGGTGGGCTTAAAAATGAGGGAGTGATGGCAGTTTAGATGTCATGTCCTGATTTTTCAGCTCACACTCTAGCTTTTGTCAGCTCCCACTCTTGTTTTGAACATTCCGCCATTCATTCCTATGGGACCAATTTCACCACAAAAACGCCGATATTTC